TGAGCCTAGCGACTTAAGCGTTTTGGAACCCGCTAGCTGATTGAAAGCATAGAAGAACAGGGCGTGTTGAACACGTCTTGCGCGAATGATCGACGTTTCTTGAATCAGGGTAATCACCAACAGGATTCTAGTCACGTCGTGCAAACATCACCGACGACAGCATTCCAGTTGCAATTAGCAACATTGGTATGCAGGTCTGATCGTGTGGTTAGCTTTGTTGTCTTTCAAGTTCCAGCCCCTACTTCAACTACTCGGAGGAAACCCTTCTTCGGTATATCTCTAGCCTGTTGCTGGCCATTGAAGAGGAGAGACGGTTCAAAGCTTCATTTACTTGGCGACATTATTTTTTAGGGTTAAAACTCATTTTCATCGTCAGCAAGATTACAGAATTGCCTGTGAGGTTGCGAGGGAGTGGATCGCGAGTTAGGGAATCGAGCGACGACGATACCGAACTATAGTGGGTTTCATAGATAAGTATATGCTGTTGATACAAGCCCGATAAGTTCATGATAAAACAAATCCTAAAGCCTCTACCGACTTTTGAACTTTGACTGACTGCCCCTACTTCCACTCCCCTATGCCAGAAGTTACATCACAGAAAAAAACGAATTTCACGCTCATAAGACAGTCCTTTTCACAAAACACCGACCTCCGAATAAATCCGAAAACCCAGCACATTAGATTTATTCACGGTGCCGTATTCTGTGAAGAAGAGGCTGTCAGTCGGGCAGAGAATGGAAATTCGCTCCAATCCCTGAAGGAAGCTCCCGCATAGGAGCACGGGCATAGGATGGTTAGTCAAAATCATAAAACCTACAGCAATAGAATAGTTATGTTAAATTACATCAGGAAATAAAGTTTGCACACAACAGTCGAACAGCAACGTTTTATTGAAACCATTTTTTTTGAAAAACGTAGTCATTATTACTTATAAAGGAAGAGAATTATGATGATGATAAGTGAGTGAAATTAATGCTTTAGAGGTGATATGCAGTTAACTGAGAACAAGCGTCGATTAGAGGTCGAATGACTTAGACCGAAACTCGGATTCAAAGGATGTGATCGCATGGGTAACGAGTTTTTCAAAGCACATTAATAAAAAAAACAAAACAATCATCGATGACTGGCAAGAAAAGCACATAAGTAGTTCGGAGCAAAACGATATGCAAACAAGCCGTATTGTTTGGTCAAAACACATTAAAATGGTAATTCCCCATTATTCCCCCACAAGTTCAGGTTCCACTGGGTCATAAGATTTAGAGTCGAAAATAAACAAGAAACTCCGACAAAGTTGGTGGTCAATTGAGCTAACGGAAATGACATGGCGAACGAAAGCAAACGTTTGTTGGAATGGGACCTCTAAATTGCAAATTACACCGAAACAACAAGAAAATGACTAATAGAATCGTTCAAATCAGTGCTCCGACATGACGCTCGATTACTGTAGGGAAACAAAGCAGCCGAACTCGCTTTGGAGGAGATAGCGCGAGGAAAAAAGCATCGTTGACATGAAGGACATCTTCAGTATAGAAAGGACAGCCAAGCATACAGGAACCACATCAAAGATCCGAATGCGATCCAGGTCTCGAAGGTAAAGGTACGCAAAGCTCACTGCAAAATATGGGGGCAGGGTTGGCACACTCCAACGCACGTCCCATTGGTGGATTCGACAGGTCACAAATGAAAAGTGCTCTGATTGTGTCAGCACCGCCTCCCATAAGTATGCAGTGCTCTCTGAGTGCCGAACACCTTCAACTGAAATTTGGGAAGTTCCCTTCTTACTTTTTCAATTTTTTTACAACCTTCGCCAGGAGGCGAGTACGCTCATCCTGAAGAGTGCGGATTTCCATATCAAGACGACGTAGTTCTTGTGCTGCCAGATCTTCCACTTCACGAGAACGCACATTCAGCTGAACAAAAACGGTTAGTAGGACACGAAAACCGGTCATAATCACATCTCGTACCGCTTCCTCCCTCTGTCTCAGTTCGGCTTCTTTCTGTTCCAGACTTCTCTGAAAATCTTCTCGGATCTTCACCTCACGAACTGCAAACTCGTCATTGTATTCTTTCTGTTTCTGAAAATTCAAACATCATTTAATTTTGTAAATGTAAAATCAAAATTTTGTAAATCGGTGTTGCAGCCTACCAAAGTGAATTTCTCCACCATTTTCGGTCCTGTGTCACCATCTCCCATATGCATGCTTCGTAGACGCTCACGTCGATAATTTTCATACAAAACCTGGGTAATTAATATCGATTAACTCGATTTCGCTTAGATATCGTCGCGTCTTACAGCATCTACAACTTACATTATGAGTTTTCTCTCTTAGAGCGTCAACGTTCGTGCGAATCAGCGCTTCTCTGAGCTTCACGAAATCGCAGTGCTGCTCATTTTCTACTGAAAATCACAAATCGTCTTCACTATGATCAGTTTCAGCTTCACAATGAGCTCACAGAAAGCACAAGGTGCCACAAGTGACAGAGTTTTCGATTGTTTCCTTTTCCAGTATCTTTTTGGATTTAACGAAAGGATGGAGTAAGGGGCCACGAAGAAAAACGGTTACCTAGTTTTGGTGACCACATTTCGTAGAGTGGTTTTTATGTAACCTCATAGCTATTTAATTGAGTTACTATTTAATATAACCCTATAGCGTATAACAACTAAAATCCAAGTGAAAATCGTCGTACAGCATATTTCGCAAATACATAAAAAATAATGCGAAGCAAAGTCTACCCACCTTCAACTATACCCCATGGATATCGGCGCGCTCTTACACGAACACCATTCTCCTTCTTCACGAAATCTCCGCTACCTACCACAGCAAACGGCATTGCACTGTTCATCTCAGCATTTGCCTGGGCTACCTGCAAAGGCAGCAAATCACCAAAGCACCTAATCACACATTGAAGCTTCCTTTCGAGCTCACTAAACCCGATAAACTGTGGGTAAGCTGTATTTCGGGAGAAGTACCTATCAAGGTGCAGGTATTGCACATTGATTCGAACTATATTCTTCTTGTTTTGAGGGAAAACATTGAAGGGTCTTCTTGTCGAAGAACTTGTGTTCATTTCTTGCCACTACATTACTTTGAATAAGGCAAAAATCATAGCTAGGCGACGAAAATGCGATGTAAGATGAAAGAGTGAACATTATATTTGGAGCGTAAAGGGAGCAGGATTGTAAAAGGTGGGAAGAAGGTAAATTTGCACTCAAAGTCGAAACACTGCTTGAGTTCAACAGACAGCCCCAAGGGGTTGTAAAACTGGTGAGGGGTTGGACGCTTTGGTGGTGGCTGACGAAGCCTTGAACTGACCAGAAGACATAAGTTAGGAAGGATCCAAAAACAAGAGAAAGTCGTATATCCGACTCGAACATTATCCCAATCTTCTGGATTGATAACTGAATAACAGATCACAGATCACTTTCTTGGGCATCTTTCGAGTTTATTTCCCCCGACTACCCTGGAATCAATTCACACTGCACTTGAGAAGGGCGCAAAATGGCGATGTGCCAAGTTCAATTCATTGTGTTTACTTTCATAGACGTATGTAGTAGTACGAATGAACCGATCTTGCCCTAGGTGAATGCCTTGCCACCCTTGACGTGACTGGGTTCCACGACTCGCGCAAATGATAGGCAGCATATCTTCCCACCTCACACTAACCCCCCCCCCCCCCCCCCCNTCCCACCTCACACTAACCCCCCTCCCCCTCCCCCAATTATTTGTAGACCTCCTACCTCCAGGACTCATAGTAGAGATCCTAGAAGCTTTTGATTCAGTCACCATCAAATTGAGCTCAATTTTAAAAAGTGGCAGTTGACAAGTCATTTTGAGCAACTCTCAATCACTCGCTATTTACATTTCAATGAAATCCGGACTCACAGTTTCGTCGTCTGTCGGAAACTGATAGATTTCAATTTTGTGACTGCGCAGCTCGCTCATGATCTGGAAACAAACAGAAAGTTCATTAGCACGCCAGAAAAACAAAGTAATCGGAAGGATGAAAACTGGGCACCCTGGGGGCCAACTTATTTTGACGCTGAATGCGGACGGGGGTAAATCTGATCTTTTCTGGAAGGGAAAGTAAAGTCAACAGTAAAAATGATACAGAGTTTAGCCTCACAAGAGCAGTCACCCTCTACTCAGTAACCCAGTACAGCCTAGAAAGCATCAGAGCCGAAAATCTGATCACTGAATCTGTCCAACAACAATTTTTTCGACGTTCTTTAATAAAATTGACAATATGGCACGATTTCAGGGTCATTAAGGGCGTAGGGGTATGCTGGAACCTCTGAAAATTGGTGGCAGTTTAGAGTGTCCCTGCACCCTCCTCATAACGCGGTTGATGAGCTGCGCGCGGGCTAACCAACAATCTAACCAGTAAAAACTATGATGAGGCCCCCGCGACCGATTGATTTTTTAGGGGGTTTTTTTGAAGGTGCGCAGCAAAGCTGGAAAACAGTTAAACCCATATTCAGCCACCGTATGCCGTCGCAAAGAAACGGTTTTACTCCTTCTAGAACGCTTTTAGATCTTAATCAATTTCTCGGAAAATAACTTTATTGCCCTAGAACAGCCTTATGCTTACCACCTCTATGTGAGAACATGTGCCAAAATCTCTTGCAGCTATATTGTGCCGAAAAAAATAATTCGAACCTTGTTTTTGAAGCGGATCAGCTCATCCTTGCATGTCGTATCCGACTTCGCTATCACAGGTATCACATTGACCCGCTTGGCGAGTTCGCGCAACGTCACCAAGTCCAAAGCCTTGAGGCTGAAATGTAGAATTTCGAATTTTTAAGATCAATTTTTAAATACTCATAAGCAAAAAGCCGCTTCTCCAGAAAACGATCGCTATGTCAACAACAGAAAGATACGATTAGCATGGACCACAGCAATGAAGGCGGTTAAGGGCGTTTATAACAGATCAGAAAAAACGAGTCATAACTCTGGCAGCCACGATCTTGGTGATTCATAGCAAGTATTTTCATATTGAACTTTTCCTGCTTAACAGAAGAATGAGGATTTAGATAAAGCGAGTCTACTACCACAAATGCGATCCAAAGCTCAAATCCCGGACACACAGACTTGCGCCCATATGTCATTCTGTACGAAGCAGATATGCTGGTTCAAATGTAAGAGCCATTCACTGAGGAAACTGATGAGTGTCCAGCATTCTGCCTTTTACACAGACTTTAGTAATTGAGTTCTTCTCTGAAGCAAGATGCATGCCCACGAAATTCAAACAGGCATTGAGAAAAACATCCAGAGGGCGGACGTTGAGACATATAGGATAGTTTCGCTGAGAGAGGAATTGGGAAATAAGGTAGACACGGACACGTATTTACAGAAGTTAAGCCAGACTTTTTGTTGCGCAACTGGGAAGAATGACCGAATCGGTTTGCTGGATTTCCAACCTAATCAGTTCTCATAGAAATTCCTTTAGGGTAAAAAGTGTATCGAGAAATCGTCGCCAAAGTGACTAAATACGGTCCAGCTACTTCACATGCCAACGATCTTCATTGTGGACATCAGTAGAATAGAAAATAAGGAAGAAATAAAGTTTTTGCACTTCGATCCACCGGTTAGGTTACGCTTATGCAGGTGACTATCGTACCGGAGCGTCAAAGTGCTTTGACATATAAAATGACTTGCTGAGGCAAGCCAGTGTAGGCCAAAGACAATGCTTTGTCTCCGAGACAAGTCTAGTAACAATGAAGCGACTCTGGAGTTGTATAAGGCCAGCTGGTCTGGGCGGGATTCGATCCCTGAACTATGCGTGTAGTTTCGACGTTACCATGAGCGCCACCCTTGCTACTGAATTAATATCACTATTAATAGTAAAAAATGATCCTTTTTGAAAATCGCATCTTCCTTAGACGACCCCTAATCTGCACCACACACTTCACTAGACTAGCGATCCAAGTACAACACTATCAAGATGCACCGCTCTATTTCTCATTTAATGTGAATAAAATATTAATTTTGAGGCGAGCAGAAGATTCTGATCCGCTTCCTTATAATGATCGGAAGAAACCAAATCTCAGGGGAGAGAGACGATTCCCCACTATGTTGTTCCTCGATGTGCATATTCTCTGTCTGCTGACCTTGTACTACTAAAAAAAAATGCAAAAATGGTGTAAAAAAACGACCTAGACCAAAAACTATCCAACTTTGCCAGCATTTTGCACTAACCAGAGTTTTGATCATTTTGGTTCTTGTAGCGGTGGGAACTTTCAAATGAGCCACCTATTTTTCATGACAGCTCTGCTATAAATACCTCATATGACAAAACCTTGGAAGGTGTTCCAAAAAGTGAATCCAGTTCGAACCTGGCTTCACTCTCAAAGCCGTCTTCAACGGAACCCATAACTTTAATTCAGATATTGCGAGTCTAACCTTCTCTGAGATTTAAGGGCGGGCACCGCAATTCCAATATGCGATACCTCGGACACAATTAGCCTTTTGCCTTTTAGGCTTTACTTCAGGAAATGGTAAAAGGAAGTCGTACGAAGACCCCATTAAGAAATGGGCCGTACCGACTAGGCCTTTTTCGATGCCACGCTTCACCATGGTTACTAAGCAGTATTGTTATTAAGGATAAAATTTATAAAACAGAGGACCTGTCAGACATAATTCCACCGTTAATTTCGCAGCCATGCCATAACTTCTGGTTCAGAATTGGATATTCGTACTGCTAAGTTGTCCTTTTCTATACTGCACGCTGTCACTCATTCCCATATTACAGTATCGCAAAAGTACAAACGAAAGAGTGCAATATGAGTGAGACCTTTAGGGAAAGTTCATGACAGAACTTTCTTCAATGCGGCCATTCATGCAACCAAACGGCAGCATTAGACTATACTGAATATAGACATAAAGCTAGTGCTATGCCGGCCATAAAAGTTAGGGACATAAGAATATTTACGAAATCTGCCAATTCTCCCAGAAACTAAAAATCGACTGAAACTTCGATCTGAGCCTAGAAAAAAAGAGAACAAAATAAGCTTACAAAGTACAGCGGACGACTAAATAACTCGCCCAAATTATCTACCTATCAAACCAATCAATCAAATAGTTAGCTTAAATTAACTCTTTCTAGGAAAGCATAGAAATAATTTCTTAAAAACAATGATTTTACAAGAAAACTTCTAAAAAAGCATTACATGAGTTGCCCTGCGCTTCAGCAAACCACCACACAGTAATACTAGAAAACGAGCCGAACCAAGAACAGCCCATTCCACCCAAGGTCACGCGTGCAGTAGAATGACCAATGGTGCTCTATCGAAAAAAAACCTCCCGATATGTGGAGACAAAAAAAGCACCTCCCAGCCTATATCTATGACACACATAGGTACTATTCTCCCTTTCAATATGAATACACTGATCTCATCTACTGATTATCATTTTACAGTAATCGCATCTTGACTATCTTTTCTTGTGAAAGATACGGTACTACGCTGAGGGGGTGGCGCCTAAATCTGCTCGATTCAGAGCATTTTAAGTGTTGAAAAACTATAAATTTATTTTAGACTGGATGTCAAGAAAGCAAACTATTCTCATCAATCCAGAACCTCTTATCCTCCTGCCATGCCGAAAAAAAATTCCGGAGGTAATAGTGACCAAACTACATATTCCTAAATTTTCAACTCGAAGTTTATCCAGCAAAAACGACACCCTTCCATGGAATCCCGAATTAAGTAATTAAATCAATGGAGGGAGACGTCTCACTTCATGAAAATGCCGACCATCAAGCGATTCATACTTGCAGAGGTTACGCTACTGCTCTGTTCCTCCGACATTCACTTCCTAGGGACGGTGAATGGGCCTAATGTCTAGTTGCTGCACCTGGCATAGACATACCCGGTGGCTCGAAGCGACAACAAACCACAGTAGATGGAAATTCGATTGGATGTCATCGATATTACAAATAGAAATATGTACAACTTGAAAAAGAATACTGATCAAGTCGTAAAACATACGGCTTCTAAAGACATCATGAAACCTTCTTGGTAGAGTTTACAGGATTTTGGCATGCTTTTTACAAAAAAAAAAATTCAGACACAATTGATTGACTGCAATTGATAGCGTATTATTTTATTTCATTCTTTACTACCACTGCTTCTTCGCTTATGAGCAGAGTAAAAGGCGCGCAGTGAAAATGGAACAGAGGAGTGAAATTCTAATTTCAGGTAGGATTTTAATAGCTTGATCCGATCATCTGATGTGCGCGGTCAGATAATCATCATCTGAGACAATAAACTAAGGACTTGGATGCATAGTAGGGTCACAAAATTACATTAGCTACCTATTGGTAATTTTGTGACCCTACTATGTCGAAGTCCTTGATGCTTCTGAGAGGAAGTGAGTTGCGTGGTGTAAATGAGTGTAATCAATAGCCCCTTTCAAGCTTTTAAAACTACCACAACAGTGGATGCACGTGCACGTGGGAAAAACCCTCAACGATCATCACATCTTACTTGGTTTAATGGGAATGATGGAAGAAGTCGCTTTGGAAGCAGTGCTTCGACGTGCCAACTAAAGTAGTAGCTAAGAAACAACGGAGCAGAAGGGAGGTGGAAGAAGAGACTATGAAAAGAGACTATGAGGACGATATGCTTCCTCTGTTCCATCATCATACCCTCAAGACCCAAGACCGTTTATTCCTCTATTAAGACTGAGAATGAAAACCCCTACTCTGACAAGAAGACCTGTACAAGTGGCTCATAAGAAAGAAAGATTAAATGGCAACGAGCTTGATTCTTTAGAAAAACAACTGACATACTCGACAGGAGGATACATGCGTGTGGATTATACTCTAACGTTGACCGCAGTCGAATCAAGGGGCTCAGAAATCCGGCTTTATGGAGGTCATCGCTGAGGCACAACACACCACCTCTGAGGAGATTCAAAATGGAGAAAAACCAGTACGCGCAACGCAGCCGTAGACGCGCCGCGCGTACGATGAAGAAACGTGGGCGGCGTCCGTCCGACCGAGAAAAAAATGTCGCCGCAAAAAGGACGCGATCACACTCACGACGTAATGAGCCATCTACGGCGGTCAGCGACCTACGCGATTATATTAGACCCTAACAGCTGGCTAGATCATTCCCAGACGCCATTCTCACAGGAAAACATTCGAGGCATTTGTAAGTGTCTCGTATAAAAGTCGTCGTCAATCTCCACGCGATAGAAAAACGGAAACGGAGTATTTCCATGTCGCCCATCGCTAGAACATGGGTTTGCCCTTGTCAGGCATTCATCACAAGACCTCATCCATTACATATTCAGGCTGAAGATTCGAGAAAATTCCAGAACTCTCGTTGTGGATGAATTATATTCACAACAAATTCAGCACATTGCCGTTCTGGACGCTTGCACTTTTGATAATCTCCAATATTCTACGACAGAATGAGCGGCGCTGCGTCACACTTTTTACGACTCGAGGAATAGTACTCCAATCATCGACCGAGCTTCTTCTCATTCTTCGCGTGGGAATAATAAACCAGGGGCAATTCTATAGATCAGAGCAGGGGCACAAACTTGATATACCTTCATTCATTCTAGCAGATTGAATGAAAATTAAGGTGCATAACAGCCAGAAGAGACCAAATATCGAAAATTCTTGTTATCAAAAATTTCTTCTCAGTCTCTCATTGAGGACGAGCAAAAGCTGCGTCTCGGGAGTCGTCATAGATCCCTTTGAAAATAGGGGTCGTACGTGTATCCACGCATGATAGTATCACAACAATCACCCTCGCGATGCTTGTAGTGAGTTCAGATCGAAGGTGAGTCTCAGAGTAGAATACCGAAGGAGCAAGAACATTCCTCCCCATTCCTTACTGCCACTCTTCAGTATGTTTCTCTTGTACGTCGACGAAGTGATCATTAATGTCTATCCAAGAAACTAGGTGGAGGCCCTCAGACAACAGATACATCTCTACCGGAAGAAACAACAGGAGCTGCACCGAACTTGTTTTACCAAAGACTCGAAACCAGCATTACATCGAGGAGTTCGAAATTTAGTTCAATAAAATTTCACAAAAAAAAAACGTATCGGGAAGCCCCAGACACCAATGATGCAGTTTTGAGGAGCCGAAATTGCTTCACCACTCCCACGGCCAGAAGTCTGACGCAGCGCCACTATAGCAGCTGAAGAAACCTCGTAAACCTATAAACTGATAATAGCTTTTCTCAAACGGAAGTAGGACAACTACAAGAAGGGGCGCTAGTGGAATGAATCGAACGTCAGATTAGATGCTAAGCAAGCCTTTTATTCCTCCGCAGCTAATTACCCGATTTGTTTGAGAGATTAAATCATGCAGCAATGCAGTCGTTCTATTTCCGTTTGAGAAAAGCTATTACTGGTATATCGGTTAATGCGGTTGCTTCAGTCGCTAAAACGTTGCTATTATCGGCCCATGAAAGTGACGAAACAGTTATTCCGGTCCCGCAGAAACGTACCCTTGGTATGAGTACATGAAGTAATAGAACAGTATATTTTTGTTAGCGTCACCGGACAGGGAACACTGCACTAACACTCCGCTACACTGCACCATCCCCGACTGCATATCTAAAAGCCTCTAAAGCCCTCAAAGAAGTTGAATACATGGCGCAAACCACGGAAACACCGACTAAGGTTACAGAATTTATCCTCATGCCTGCTAAAGTCAAAAAGAGAACACTAGCCTGATCTCCCTGACCCTGACGTCGAAGATTCCCCCATTCCCCGCTATTACTTACCCAATCCCTGATAGTCAGGGTCATGACTGAAAGCCTACATTATTTAGAAAAAGGAACAGGGGACCAGTGGTGAATTATTCCCAGGAGTTATGGGAACATTACCAGGATCAAGGTGTTCAGTGTTCAGTAAACGAGATAGTGAACCTCTCAAGGTCGTTCCCATAGCTGCAAAATCGTTTGCGAAGGACAAACCATATGAATAATCTGCGAGGTCTATGGCGGAGTTTTTATGTTACTGCTATAACATTGCGCTAGCAAACCACCAACGAATGCCGAGACTTTTTCCAAGGCATGTACGTCCAGAGCGTCTTTGGAGATTCGAGAACAACTTCAGTTTTTACTCCTTTAGAGGCGACAATCTTTTTATTATTATCTTAGCTGTAGTTCTGGTAATAAACAGTTCCAAAACTTCCCTGACCCCATGTTGCTTCCCTATCAGAACTTGACGCTGGCAACAAAACCTCAAAGTGAAAATATGATAACAGCTTCTGATTTATGTCGCTTTTTTCTATTGTCTGGCGGTACTTCGGATGAGGCATCAAAATGTGCCAACTGATGAGGGATTCGATCAGTTCGCGCATTTTGATTTAGCCTATGAAATGGAAATCCGTTTCATTCTTGCGAGGCAGTTGAAAAATTCGTGAAAGAGTTGGTTTCTCAAAATTCTTCCTAGAGTTTCTTGGAAACCCTTCAGAATTATATCCACAGCCAAGACATAAGACTTCGGAAGACTTGAAAACGAATGAGCAGTCATATCACACGTTTAAAGCTTCAAAATGGCAATCTCTTGAACTCATCGATCTATCACTGAAACAACGAGCTAAATTTCCGACCTGCTTCAAACCCGGCTCATGTCCCGGTGGAATCGAGTTCGGGAGGATTCTTAAGAAAACATTTCTTTTTCAAGCTTCTCATTTATCCTACAGGGAAAAAATCGTTTCCTTTCTATAAGCTACATTGAAAATGTGCAAGGTAACGACAAATAGAAATAGGAAAAAACACCCTAACAACTAGAAAAAACAGCATAAATCAGATGCCATCCCACGAGTATGCTGAGGGGGAACAAGAGGTGCCGCTTCAGAGGGTTCGAACCAAGTCATCTTCCTTCCAGGCATCGTACATATTCCTCAGACTACCTAGACGGAGTGAATATGGAAGGACACGGGGCAAGCAGTTTACAATAGAGGTAGGGGACTTGGCTCTGCACTCACAACTCTCCTACTGCGCCAACTGCGTAGCTCACTGGATATTTATTCGAATCAATTTAGAACTCACAAAATAGTACCCTCAAATACGAGGGAGGAAATCACAAGATTAATACACCACATTAACACAGCTCAGAGAAGCAGTACGTACCCGGCAGGACTTCTTTTTCACTAGAGAAGTTTGAAGAAAAACTACAGAAAGTACCCTTGGTAGGTACGAGTGCCATGCCGGATGGCGGAAGAACAGCAGTCAAGAGGCTTTTACTTCTTCCAAGAAAGCGCGTTGTTCGTCTCTACTGAGGATATTGCGTACTTCTCTTCACTGCCAGTTGCCTAGTGACATATGGAGGCCAAAAGGTTTTTGTTTGTCCAATCTCCCTTCGAGACGCCATAATTGGTAGTCTTCAGCCGAATTCTTAATGGAACTTTTCTCATTGTTAATCTGCTCGTCTCGAGAGCTTTACGACTTACTGAAATATGTTCCAAGAAAACAGAAGAGCCTGTCACATCGTCCTTTTTCAACGGAACGAACAGACTGATTTCTTTGCCTAGGGCGGCTTTGAGGGGTAAATCTCTTCAAAAACGTCTCGCTCACCATTCAGATCAAGTGAGATTTCACACAATCGCTGCAGTAGCTACACGCCACTTTAGGCTGGCCCCCTCTTTTTTTCTAAGCACTATCCAATATGTAGCTGAAAACTTTGGAGCTTTTTTGCGATCCCTAACCTACTGTAGCTTGGCCCAAAATTACTGCTCACTGTTGCTTCACTTGAAAACTGATCATAAAAAAGGATAAGCCAGTTGTGATGTTGACAAGCATAGCTAGATTAGTCTATCACCATCAAAAAAAGATGCCGCATTGGAAGCTCGTTAGGACCAACAAGGGTTAAAAAAAGGCTGCAAAGGCCGAATTAACAATATTTTATGTTTGTTCATAAGTTTTGCTTGAAACAGTGAAAAACAAACAACGA